TCATCTTCATCATCATCATCATCATCATCATCATCACCATCACCATCACCATCACCATCACCATCACCAGCAGCAGCATCAGCATCAGCATCATCTTTATCAGCAGCAGCATCATCACAATCATCAGCATCAGCATCATCATCATCAGCAGCAGCAACATCACCATCCTCATCATCGGCGTTGCCATCATCATCATCATCATCATCATCATCATCCTCATCATCAGCAGCAGCAGCAGCAGCAGCATCAGCATCAGCATCAGCATAAGCATCATCATCAGCATCAGCATCAGCATCGGCATCATCATAATAATCAGCATCATCAATAGCATAATCAGCATCAGCATTGACATTAGCATCAGCATCATCAGCATCAGCATTGACATCATCATCATCAGCATCATCATTGTCATCATCATCGTCATCATCATTATCATCATCAGAACCAGTCTCGCAGCAGCATTATCATCAGCATCATCATCAGCAGCATCATCATCGTCGACTGCAGCATTATCAGCAGCATAATCATCATCATCATCAGCACCATAATCGTCGTCGTCGTTGTCGTCGTCATCATCAGCACCATCATAGCAATCATGATCAGAATCGTCACCACGACCATCATCACTATCATCATCGTCATCAGAATAATCATTATCCTCATCAGCAGGAGCAGCATCGTAACCAGCATCAGAATTATCATCAGCATCAACGTCATCATCATCGTCGTCATCATCATCAGCAGCATCGTCATCGTCATCGTGATCGTCATCAGCATCAGCATCAACATCAGCATAATCAGCATCAGCATGAGCATCAGCATCGTCGTCGTCAGTATCATCGTCTTCTTCGACATCATCGTCAACATCAGCATCACCATTGTCAGTAACAACAGCATTATCACCATCACCATCATCATCAACAACGTCATTACAAGCATCATTAACATAAACATACTCATCATCATCAGCAGCAGCAGCATCACCGTCATCTGCAGCATCCGCATCATCTTCATCATCATCATCATCATCATCATCATCATCATCATCATCATCATCGTACTCGTCATCGTCATCGTCACCGTCATCATCATCGTCATCATCCCCATCATTCTCATAATCAGCATCGTCCTGGTCACGCCCCCGCCCAAATCTGGAGACACGAGGCGCCACGCGTGACGGCCTCCCGTGCACCCGGGAAGAATGACGCCACAGCTTTGCGCCACAGGTCTGGGGAAACTGGCTCAACAGATGTCCCTGTTGCGCAGAAACGAGCTACTGAATCAATGCAAATGTTCGAACGCACGGCGAGCCATTCGCGGAAAACGCTAGCTGGATTCAAGCCATTAACATCGCAATCTGGCAACCAGCACCAGCACCTCGAACAGTCGCCACCCGGAATGATGGCCTGGCACAGTGGCGGGACGTGCCGCAAGCGGCTGAACCTCCCAGCTGGGGACGGTGCTCTCCGAGGGCGCAGCGCGCCTTGCAGAAAATGTCGCACCAGTCGGCGTCCTCGGGGATGGAAGGCAACACCTGGAGGGAAAAGCAACGAGGACTACGACCAACGACTGAGGGTGGAGGCGTCGATGCCAACCTTGGCGGCGGCAGTGCCAACATCACTCCAGCCGTAATCGTCTGAGCCAGTGTGGTGCGGGTTTCTCATATCGCCGCCTCATTGGGCTCCGTTGTCGACGTGCTTGCTGCATTGTTCGTTGCTTCCCTCGCGTTCGATTTTGTCGCGGGTATCCGTCCACCTTGGTCATCGTCTGGTCCGTGGAACGTCCTCGCGAATCGGCGACGGCCAGCACGGACCACGACCAAGATCGGCGTCGACGAGATCCAGCGACATCTTGGCCATGCCCCTCGTGCTTCTTCCCTCGGACACCTTCGCGTCCCGCCTCCACGACAGCGGGTCGCAGCAGCCGCACACGTACACCGCGGCACCCATGAGCCCGCCAGCCGCGGTGGTAGCTCCAATGCCGGCGGCTACCGCCATCTACAGCGCCTCACCACCCGCAGCTATACGTGGGAGACGCCCCTGCTCTCATCCCTCCTCCCCCTCCCATGTTGTCTCACGTCCACTCGCCTCTCCCCCCGCCCCTCCCCACCCCCCTCCTTATTTCCATCCTTCCCGCATGCCCCCCGCCCCCCCCGTCTCCGCCCCACCGCCTTTCCGCTCTTCCCCAACCCCCCCGCCCCTTGCCTGCCCTCTCGCCTCCCCCCATTCACAACTACATGATACGAGCGCAGCTCTCAAGTCTTCCCTCCCACGGATTGTTCTCATTTCACGCACAAGAGTTCACAATGTGTTTGTGTCCCTACGTGTTGTTCACTTGGACCGCTGCCAGTCCCAACAACACGCTGCGTTCCCACTGCAGCGTTGGCCACATTTCAGGATCGGCGCTTTGCTTCAGTCGTTTAGATGTGCGCTCTCGCTCCGGCGCGGGCCACATTTCTGGATTAGATTCGTTCTTCGTCGTTGCCGTCCCCCTCTTTTTTCACCATCCGCCTTCCCCTGGTCCTCCTGCTCCTCCTACTCCTGCTACTGCTGCTGCTCCTCCCTGCTCACCATCCAGCTTTTCCTAATGCTCATCTTCCTGCTAATCATCCTCCTCTTCCTCCTCATCACCATCATCCTCATCCTCATCATCAGAAGCAGCATCATCATCCTTCTCATCTTCGTCCAAATACAAAGACCCCATCTCTGATTGCGTATCACTCGATGGGATCATTTAAGGATCAAGGTCATCTAGGATCTAGGACACCCCATCTGACGGAAAGATAATAAGTGGCACGCATGCACTGGCTCTTGCACGAGGGAGCAGCGAAGGAAAGAAGAAGCGTGTGGGTCAGGCGCAAGAGGTCAGGGAGGTCCGAAATGGCCAGGGAGGCGAATGACGACGACGACGACGACGACGACGACGACGACGACGACGACGACGACGACGACGACGAAAACAAGGGGCTCCGCGCCACAGGGACAGGCCCGAAGGGCCGGGAGCCATGGGACAGGAGGTCAGAGAGGTCCGGATCGGCCAACGAGGCGGACGACGTCGAACGACTCTCCACCCAAGAGCCAGGGCCAGGGCCCAGGGGCAGGGCCAGGGTCCCGACGACCACGGCCACGGCCACGAAAATGAAGAGCGCCGAGATCTACAATACAGCTTGGCAAAATCATGCAGCCATCCGAAGCCCTGGCAGGGGAGCAGGGGAGGCCACGGAGGCCAGGGAGGCCAGGGCAGGGGAGCCAGAAGACAAAACACAACAACACCGGGAGGGGGACCACGACGACACGACGACACGACGGCGACGGCGAAGAAAATAAGGCAATCCGAGGCCCCGGGGGGTGGGGGGCAGGGTAATCAGGCAAGGGAGGCCAGGGAGACCAGAGGCCAGGGCTGCCACACCAGGACTGGGAGGTCGGAGGCCAGGGCTAGCAGGGAGGCCAGCGAGGCCAGGCAGGGGAGGCCACGACGGCACGACGGCACGACGACACCACGACGAGAACAAATCAGTCCGAAACCCTGGGGGCGGAGGGGGGCCAGGGGAGGCCAGGGAGGCCAGGAGACCGAAGCCAGGACGTACCAGGGAGGCCCAGGGGAGGGGAGGGCAGAGCAGGAAGGCCAAGGGAGGCCACGGCGACGCGACGACACGGCGACGAATCTTTGGCAATCCGACGCCCTTGAGAGGGGGCCGGGAAAAGCCAGGGCCAGGACGGCCGCAGAGGGAAAGAGTGGAGGAAGAGGACGAGGAGGAGGAGGAGGAAGAACAGGAGGGAGGAGAAGGAGAAGGACAAGAAGGAGGAGGACGAGGAGGAGGAGAAGGAGAAGGGGAGGCCCAGGGAGGCCAGGGAGGCCCGGGGAGGCCAGGAGGGCCAGGGCGGCCAGGATTGTCAGGGAGGCCAGGGCAGCGGGACCAGAGGAGGCCACGACAATGCACGACGACGACGTTAAAGCAATCCGAAACCCTACGGGGGGGGGAGGCCAGAGTAGGCAAGGCCAGGGAGGCCAGCCAGAAGAGGCCAGGGGAAGCCAGGGAGGCCAGATGCCAGGGATACCGCCCGGGACGGGACGGAAATAACATGACCCGAGCTCTGGGACACAACCGTGCAAGATGACAACTCAGTGCAGTGGGAAAGTATGGGTGGGAAAGGGAGGACGTCTGACATGGCACGAGTGCACCTAGACTGTCCCCACCCTGTCTCTCTCTCTCTCTCTCAACCCCCCTCCCCTCCCCATCACCCCTCACATTTCTCAACAATTACACGATAAAAGTACTATTGGTCCTCAGTGTCCTCCTTATTTGCAGTTTCCTCTTCAGCTTCATCTTCATCCTCCTCTTCGTTCACATGCTCTTCTTCGTCCTTCTCCTCGTCATCCTTCCCATCGCCCTCGTCACGGTCTTCTTCTCCCTCAGCATTTGACGGCCACCCCCTCACTGTCCTTCTCATCATTATCCTCATCATCTTCTTTATACTATCCGAACTCGCGCCCTAATACGCGGGAGCTTGCATGTCGACTGTTTTGCCTTGCGAATCAGCTGCCAAGCTCGTCGTGCTCGCCCTCGTAACCATCGTTTTCCCGAAGTCGTTCGCAACGCGATGACGAGCGACCGTACATCAATAAGGGTATCCATGAGGGGCAACGATAGGGGGGGGAACTGGCATAGAGGGGGATGCATCGACCTGGAATCGGCGATACATCGCCGATAGATCGGCAATATGCCCCCGATAACGGATCCGAACCTTCCTGTGCAGGCTGGGGCTATCAGGCCCCTATCGGCGATCATTGGTCGATTGGGGGTCGATGCATCCCTCCCTATGCCTGTCCCCCCCTATCGTTGCCCCCGAATCCAATGCTCATCCCCGTGCCCCAGCCTGGCTACAAGCCGGTGGTGATATGGCAAAGCATCGAGCAAATCACGAGCCAACCCTGCGCCCACCCATCGGCCGAAACGGCTGCGCAGTGCTAAACTGCAGGTTATCGCCCTGCCAGCATTGACACGTATTGGACATGGTGCCACCATGTCTAATGGAATATAGCGATGCGAAGCTGAAGGTTTGACTATTCGCGATAGCGATCATTTCGGGAGCGGCCTCACCTCACCACGCACCATTCGGTAATGTTGAAATTCGCGCCGACGCGGCCTGGGAGTGGCCAGGGGTGCCTAGGAGTAACTGATTCCCAGGCGGCGCCTGTGCGTATGAAAACTTTAACGCCTACTTTGGCGAATGGGTAAAATTGAAAACGGCCACTCCCTCTCCCTCTCCCTCTGTCCTGCTCTCCCGAAGCTCGAAGTATGGACAACCTACACAAACAATACATACTAACATTCAAACTGTCGGAATCTAAAGTACTCGCAACTTCGAAGACATTTCTGGGACAGCCTCGCTGCGAATTGCGAAACCTGGAAGCACTCATCATGGGACTATACTAAAACTGAGACACACAACCTTGAAACACTCAACCTCATGAAACATTATTAGAGTTAGATCGTATGGCAACATCACACCAACAAAAACATCGCCACGGTAAAGACTAAAATGCCATGAAGAACTCCTGAAACTGTTTGCTGGGACCGCGCCTGCTGCACTTCACGGCTTATGACCTTTTGGAAATGCTTCACGTGGTTCAAACACGGATTGTCCTGCGCCCGTTGACGCCATTATAGTCTGAAACCCGGCGAGAGCTGAAACAAACCAGAACGTGAAGAAAACGAACCACGTCGACGCGGAGGAAAGAAGCATGGAACAGGACATCTAACAAGAAACACATAAAAGCAACAGCAATGAACTACAAAAAAATCAACAAAATGCAACAGACCAGAAAAGCCCAAATTCAGCGAGGCCAGGCGCAGGCGGAACGAAAACGTTCGCGCGCATGCCTGATGAACCCAACCCAAAACTAAGCAAAGCAAGCCCAAGCGCTAGAACGAGCACGTCCGCACAAATACCAGGCGAACCCAGGTCGCACACGGCCGCCCCACTTTCTGCAATGAAACCCGATGTTCCCTTCGTTTCCATCTCTTTCGTCATCCTTTTTCGTTTTTCTGTTACTTCTCTCCATCTCTCTCTGTCTCTCTCTAACTCTTTACTTCTCCTGCTGCTTCCCGACAGTGTCGAACAGCACGTTTCTCTTGCCCTGAACACAAGCTTACTCGTTGTAACAGTGTGAAACACACACACACACACACTGCAGAGGCCCGATGAGGAAAACAAAAACAGAAGAACAAAAAAACGTCTGGCGTCGACGCTGGACCGACAGAACAATCACACTCGCACACACACACACACACACACATAGAAGGTCGAAATCTATCCAGCCGGATTCCCCCGCCTTCCTCGGGCTCAGGGGCAGCAATACAAATTGTTCAATATCCTGCGGAAGCCACTGAAAAAAGCAGCGGACACCTCGGCGCGGGCGAGGCGCGCGATCGGAGGCGTGCCTGAAGCCCTTCGCAGTGGTGCCCCACACAAGCTCAATGCGCTCTGCGTTCTGAGCACGTCCCCCAGGCAAAACCTACGAATATCCCACAGCGGAATGAAAGGCAAGAGGACCGAAGAGAACAACAGACCGGCAGCATGGACGTGAAAAGCGACTGCGACGCGCGAGCCGACGTCGGGGCCCCGCGACGCGCCGCCCTGGAGCTGGCACGCCTAACACGTGCCTCAAAAGGCGCGCAGACGACGTGCACTTGGGACTGACGCGCCGCCGCCTGCCTCCAGGACGCACCGCCTTGGAGGGGGCGCGCTCGGAGAACACCCCGAACGGTCCTGGGAGTCGCCGCTGCCTGGCCCGAGGGCGCAGCATCCTCGAGCCGGCGCGCGCGCGGAGCGCACGCTGTGGCGGCGTTGGGGCGCCCCGCTGTTTTTGCGGGCCGGGGGGCGCGCCTTCCTTCCAGCCGGCTCGCTCGGCATGCACCTGGCGGCGGCCTCGGGCATCATTGTGTTCTGGAACCCGGCGAAAACTGAAACGAACCAGAACGCAAAGAAACCTTGTCGACGCGGGGGAAAATACATTGAGCATGAAATCCAACAAGAAACACAGACGTAAAAAAATGCCTAAAACGAACAACCACCGAACACGATCAAAAAAACGACAAGACCAGCCCAAATGACGCGAGGCCAGGCACAAGCGGAACGTAAACGTTCGCGCGCATGCGTGACAAACCCAACCCAGAACCAAGCGAAGCGAACCCAAGCGCTAACAGATCGAGCACGTCCGCGCAAGTACCAAACGAACCCGGGTCGCACACGGCCACCCCACATCCTGCAATGCAACCCAATGTTTCCTTCGTTCCCCTATATTGCGTCGGCCTCGTTTGTTTTTCCGTTACTTCTCTCTGTCCCTCTCTCTCTTTCATTATCTCTTTCTCTCTCTCTCCCTCTTTCTCTCTCTCTCTCTCTCTCTCTCTCTCTTTCTAAGTCTAGATCTTGCACGCTAAACCTAGACCACGGATGCTAAGTCTAGATCACGAATGCTACGCCTAAATCACAAATGCTACAGCCGCCAAGAAAGAGCCCACCAAATTGGACCACAAGGAAACTTCGGGTGAATTGCGACCGGACTTGTAGCTCCGAAACTCTCGCACTCGCCCTTGTGCCTGTTGATCAAATTTCAGCATCTGCATATTTCACACCGCTGAGGTATAGGCACCTGAGAACATGTCATCCTGTGTTGGAAGCGGGCCACCTGGTTTCCAGCTGCCACCTCGCGCGCACAAACATCCTGCTCAGAGCGACCGTCTAAGGGCGCAATTCGAATGTCCCTCGACCTAATCCAACCGAGGCGCATCGACGCGAATCGAAGCGAATCGAACCAAATCAAATCGACTGGAATCAATCCAACCGACCCGGACCCAATCTAACCGAACCGAACCGAACCGAATCGAACCGAACCGAATCGAACCGAACACAACCGAACCCAACCGAATCGAACCGAATCGAACGGAACCGAGAGGGTCCATAGGGTCCACAGTTCAATAGGGTCCACTGGTCCTCAGTACGTGGGTCCAAATAAACTGCCACGAATCTTAACTTCGTCCACGACTGCGGTATGAACAAATCCGCCGAGGCCTCTGGCCTCTAGGCGTGTAGATGCCCCGAACCCTCAACAACCCTCAAAACCTCCAAAACCTCCAAAACAAGCTCCTTCGGGGAAGGCTTACCCTCCCCCTACCCCCTCCCTACCGGTCCGGCTCTCTTAGTCGCAGCCGGTTTTAGATTACCCATGGTTCCTTTGTGATTTTCTGTTCGCTCGGCCAGGACCGACCGAGACGAAAAAAACGGTGGGTCGCCGGACATTGGATCGACCTTGCGATAAAATGCGAATCACAAAAAGTATTGAAAAACACAACGCTGTTTTGCCTCCTGGCCATTTTGCTGCCTTGTCTGTCTGCTGCCGTCGTTTTCGGACGGGGCATTCACCGAGGCAGACATACATGCAGCACGTCGCTCCCGCATCGAAAAATATATCTCCAGAGCGCTTTGGCCCTCCGACTGGCCGACCTCAGAGCGGTCATCGCATCATCGTTGACTCTTGTCGGTTTCGACACCCTCCGAGATAGCTCATTCTGACCCCCCGAACACCAAAAAAAACTGATTAAACCTTAATAAAAATCAACGATTCAAAACAATTGCAAATTTGGTGCATACAACCTTCGATCCACATTTCTCCACATCTCGTAAAACCTTAATCGTGACGATGAAACCGCTCACTCAAGGGGGCTATCTTTTCAGAATCTGAGGAATGAGAGAAGTCCTCTCTAAGGACGCAGTTAGTCCTGAGTTTCCGTTGTTTGAGTCTTTCATTCCCGAGCTGTAACGATCCAGCATGGCTTCGAGCCCGTTTCGGAGGAACGAGGAGAACGGCTGAGCCACTCTAAAAACGCACCACCCGACATTAACCCGACGATGAGGGGTGTGGAGTGAGTCACGGAAAATCCCACAAGCAAAAAGCGCTTATTAAAACCGGCGATTCTTCATTGTTTCATTCCGCCACTTGAGATGAGCCGACGCGCATTTTTTGTCACAACATGTGGCATGCACCCATCCATGTCGACGTGCAAAAAGAAAATGTCAATCTTGCATTGGTATTACACTATGTTTTGAAAGTCGCACAACCGCATCCATATCGATCCAATGGGGCGCCCTTTTGGGTGCCAAGGGACAGATGTGCGTTTTGCATTGGAATTACCGAGTTCTTGCTCGTGCCATCCGAGGCCAAACAGCTCGCATCTTGCCCCTGCAATGGCCCCATATGGGTCGACAGGAGGGCTTTCTGGACACATGTTCTGGGCAACCATCCTTCCATGAGCCCATCTGCAAGGTTTTATTTAGGGTTTATAAAAAGGTGCTGATACCAAACATGATCCATCATGCAACAGTTCATTGTCAAAAAATGGAGGCCACTAAGCCTCGAAGCCTCCATGACTCCAAGTGCCTCGGCGGGAGTCGCGAAGCGAAAACAATGTGATTTGTGTTTGTAATGTTTGTTTTCCGCCCATTGCATTAAGAAACGTGTTATGTCATTCCAACTAACGATCGGCACTAAAACTCACGTGGTTCTCAAGCATTGCAAGGCACACGAACAGATGGAGCAATGCACATTGCCATCCAATGCCCACGCAGCATCGGTGGCAACGGCTGCCATTGCAATTCTTTGCTGTCAAAATATTCTCCTGTATTCAATGGAATCGAGTTGATGTCATGAGCACCGCCGAAGACATACATCTTCCCTGCGACCACAGCACTACATGCCATGTAACGATATCCCAGCATCTGCTGTGCTAGCCGCTCCCAAAAACCCTGGCTGGGGTCAAAGCGCTCTACGCAACTGAAGGTCCCGATCATTGGTGCGTCTCTCTCACCGCCACAGATGAGCACGCAGCCTTCAACTTCCTGACTGGTGGCTCCGCTTCGCCGAACAGACATGGGCGGCAGCGCTTCCCAAACGCCGCGGTCAAACATAAAACGTTCTGCGGAGTCCAAATAATGCGTTGTCGAATTCCATTCATTCCGGGGAG